TAACTATTTATTATGGAGTATGAAAATAATTATTCTCCTTGATTGTGACATGTTTTAGGGGCTGAAAAAGAAAGTGTAAAATTGTGATTGACGAGTCGTATTTATTAGTTTTCTTTTTGTGTCTAATTCCCTATTCATTTTCTTTATTTCAAAATCATAAATCTTTGACGATATCGTATGTGTGTATTATAAATATAATGTCCCTTTACAGTATATTGTTTGTTTTGCTTTTTTTCTTTATGTATGAAAAACTGTACACTACTGTAAAGCAGTTAACACTATTCAAAATTAATGTGCATCAAATATTAGTTTTTTTTACTTTTTAGAAAGATTTGGGCTGACATATTTTTTTAAAAACGTAATTAATAGTGTTATTTACACATTCAAAGAAAAAATAAATGAATGAAATTTTAATACTCTATCGGAGGAGCCCAATCATATAGACCATACATCACTAATCATACTTTTCAGAGGTAGGGGCGGTTACATATGTAAAGTGGAGGTGTTTCCGTCGGTACACATATATGCCCTTTTGTCCATTAATATTACACTCGGGGGTATAGCCATCCTTTATCTGCATCGACTGAAACAAAGTTTGCAAGTTAATGATTTTTTACACAATCATTATAGAGTGTCCTTTTAATTTTGACCTTATATTTTATTTTGCGCTTTTATTGAAAGATGATTGGTATTTCCCATAAAATAACAGGAATTTTTTCCTTCTGTATTAAACATTGGATACCCATCTGTTATTCTGAACCCTCCTATACCGCTGAATGAAATGTAAGATCTTCACATAATCTTTATCTTATGTTGCCATTGTGCACTTTCTATTTTATGTTTAGATGGGGCTGAGATGCTTTGGCCATATGAAAACATGTTCTTTTTGTTATTATTCTTGATAATAGAGGTATCAATTTTGCGATTACAAGTTCTGCTAAATTCCTTAATACAAGTCTATGGAACTCTCACAGAATATCTTTTATATTCTGCCTAAAATGTACTTTACCATTTAACTCTTATTGGAGAGAGGATATTGTTTTGTGAACTCCCTCTTCCCAGTACCTCTAGTTGTCTTCTAAATCCATGTACCAAAAATAAATCAGAAGAAGATATAAACTGAGCAGTCCAAGAAATAGCGACCTACCATATAAATAACGGATTGTTCTGTCACGAGAAAGCCTTTTTGATGTTTTCTGTTTTGCAAATGATTTACCCTTTTCTGTCAAATATACTTTTACGACATGCAATAGAGAATTTAGAAAAATAAAAATTATGGTATCACAAACCAATCACAGGAATAACAATTTAATTTTAATTTTTTTTTCAGCAGCTATTAAAGATAAGGGAGGTTATTTAATAAGCAATTTTATTTTATTTTAAATTCAAAAATGAAGTTTCAAGTGTTCATTTGAGAACACACTACATGCATATCCTTCAATGCGTATGTTGAGACAAAATAAAAAGGTTGTATTCTTTAGTGATAGAGTATACACCAAATTGAAGTACCTTTAAAAATATCAGCTATCATAAATATTAGCTCTATACCAACGGTTCAACTCTGGTTTAAAATGAATCATATTCTTAGAAAGATAATACAAGAAAAGATAAAGACCAAAGAACCCTATATAAACTGCTTTCAAATTTATACAAAAACTGTTAAACGAGTCCAAAATTATAATAAGTCTATTTTCAGTTTTTCCTTACTGAATATCACATATTACAATCAAATAGTACTAAATATTATAATAGAATTGTACTTAAAGAAATATACATTAGCATTGAACCTTTAAAGATAACATTATTTCAAGACAATCATTTTACGGGCATTATTCATGTAGTCTAAATTTTGTTTCTTTTCTATAAGATCAGTGTATTCAAAATGTAAATCAATTCCAATACAAATACATGAAAAATGAAATGAAAACCATTTATCCTTCTGTGTTCAATAAACCAGAAGTGAAAAAAGAATTAGATAGATTACACGATCAGTACGTACTGGTTCCTGCCGACAAAGCAGGTAACAACATTGTCTTCGTTTGTAAGGCTCATTATATAAACTGCATTCTAGAAGAACTTGGATTTAATTCTACAAGTGGTAATCCTACTTATACATAAACTTCTCTTTCTACGGAAGAAATTCTTCAAAATCACCTGTCAGTTTTGAATACTTTTAATATTCCACAGATCCAAAATGAATTTGAACTACCTTATATATATTGGATTCCGAAACTTCATAAGAATCCTTACAAACAAAGATACATTGCAGGTTCCAATAAATGTTCAACCAAGCCTCTTTCGTTACTTCTCACTAAAATATTGACAGTAGTGAAGGAAAAACTTCAAGAGTACTGTACAACTATATATTCAAGAAGTGGTGTAAATCAGATGTGGATGCTAAAAAATTCTAAAGAACTTTTGGACAACTTGAAATCACAAGACTTTACAAAAATCAACAGCATAAAAACTTACGACTTTTCAACTTTATACACAACAATTCCCCACGACAAATTAAAATCCAGGCTTTTTGATATCATTGACAGCTGCTTCTTCAACAAAAATGGAACTCGTAAGTTTACTTACCTCGTCATTGGTCATTTGAAAAATTATTTTGTTAAAACAGATTCTGATTGCACACATAAGTACTCTGAAGTTGACATGAAGAAGATGCTTGAGTTTCTGATTGACAATATCTATGTGGTTTTTGGAGTCCAGGTATTCCAACAATCTATTGGAATTCCCATGGGTACAAATTGCGCTCCGTTATTAGCAGACTTGTTTTTATATTCATATGAAGCAGAATTTATGCAGAATCATTTACGTGAAAAGAAGAAAACACTTGCTGTGGCCTTCAACTCGACATTTAGATATATCGACGACGTATTGTCAATTAATAATGATAATTTCCATTCCTACGTCGACACGATATATCCTGCTGAGCTTGAGATAAAAGATACCACAGAGTCCGACACTTCTGCTTCATACTTGGATATTTTACTTGAAAAAGACACTAATGGTAATCTAACAACCAAGCTATATGATAAACGTGATGACTTTAACTTTTCTATCGTCAACTTCCCTTACTTATGCAGCAATATACCTTCATCACCTGCATACAGAGTATTTATATCTCAGTTGATTCGATATGCAAGAGCATGCTGTTCGTATGAACAATTTCTTAAACGAGGTAAATTATTGACAAGCAAGTTGATGAAACAAGAATATCAACAGTCTTATTTAAAGTCATCATTCCGTAAATTCTATGGTCGATACAATGACCTTGTCAGCAAATACAATTTATCATTGAATGAAATGCTGACTGACGTTTTTCATACCAATTGTTAGTCCATTATTTATACACTGAATTGACCACGGATTTTTTCTGTTATATCCTGATTATGACAACGAGCACACGGCGGGTGTGACCGGTCGGCAGGGGATGCTCACTCCTCCATGGCACCTGATCCCACCTCTGATGTTTCGGAGGTCCGTGTTTGCTCTGCTCTTATTTTGTATATTTGTTTAATGGACGTTGAGATTGAATACTGTTCGTTATTTCCATATCCTTCATGCATACTGTAAACTCATATAAAATGTTAGATGTAAAATATGCCTTAGAATTTTTTATATCTACATTGTTTTGTTCAAATTTCAGGCATTGACATTTTAGCTCCTTTTTTTTATTTTAAACATAAAATATTCTCCGACTAGACGAAAATATTGTTTGACAACAGCTGTCTAAAAGTACAAATTAGCCGGTCGTATAGTTGGTTGGTACAATAGAATTAAATTGTTGATGGTCTTTTCACTCCGCTAATTTAATTAGCACGTTTTAATAACATTCAATTGACATTCACCAACCACTTGATCTCTGTACATAACACAACATACTACATACTTCCTGCAGTCAGTTTTCACACTAATTAACTTAATAATTATTATTTTCTGGATATCAAATTCTATTTTCATCACGTAAAGCTTGAACGTGTTGTAAAAGAAATTCTTAATATAGTATTGGTCACTAAATATTTTGACTGTTGAATATAAAAATCATGCTTACACAAAAATGACACATGGCAATTATAATATTTTCTCTTTGTTTTTAGTAAAATATTTCTTGAAAGTAGTTTTAAGGATATGTAAAAAAATCCAATCATGAAACATTTTTCTTGAATTGCTCATATTTAATAACACAATAGCGGGTGTATGTATTTGTTTGTGGATTAAGTCCTGTACAAACCGGAAGAGTCGTAATTTGCATCGAGATCGATGTCGAAAAGTAAAAAAGTATTTTTATTTTACTATAATTAGTATGATCTATCTATCTTTTTTTGCATTATTTGGTACAATTAATATCCATTAAAAAGACATGATATGACACTTGTTTAATGTTTGCAAGCCCTTTGCCGGATGAAATATCGTTGTAAATGTAATGAAAAAGTATCCTCATCATTAAAAAACAATCAAAAGAACGAATGACTTTTCCTTTTCTTCTCTCTCTTATTCTCTCTCTCTCAAGAGAGAGAGAGAGAGAGGATGAAAGCCTTTAGCGGTTATTGTTAAGTATTGTTGAAAATTGTTCTGCTATATTTATTTTCGACCCTTCAAAATGAGTATTATTATTGAAGATGAAGATTAACAGCGTTGATTTATATTTTTTCTTCTTATTTTCTCTTGTGCGTTAGAAAAAGAAATAATAAAAAGACAATATTCCGATATGCAGAAAAAATACACTAATCAGATTAAACAAATATTAGATATGTTATTTGCTCATCAAATTAATTTAGATTGCAAAGAAACAATATTTGTCATTTTTATAATGCAAGTTCGTTTTCTATGTATTTACCTAATGCTTATCTAAAATGAAATAAAAATACACATGATAAAAGCATTCCTTTCCGGCAAGCACTCTACATCATTAAAATGTATCCTCATTAAAGTAAACCGGAAAAAATTATTTTCATAAAGCAGTAAAGGTTTGCTTAGTGTTGACAGATTGATGAGAGACACCTTGATTTAAAAAATGAATCTGGTTGCGTGGACGTTAGTTTTCTGTGTTCTGATGTACGAACCTGTGACAGAAGCCTGTCCTAATACCTGTGTATGTGGAAGGACTTACATTTGTACAGGGATGACTGTGGACTGTACTTTTAGAGGATTCACTGAAAAACCTACTTACATCCCCACAGACACATGTCTCTTGTAAGTAACTGTTTCAAAGTATGTCTTAAGGTTGGTCGCGGGTTTGCTTTTGTCATCAATTTTGGTACACAATTTTTACGATTCGAGCGGTTGTTTTGTGCACTTTTGATTATGACGTCAGTTATGTCACAAAGCTTAAGGCAACTTCACGTTGTTTCCCGTTTAATTCTCTGCAAATGACTTCAAGTCTGTACGAATTTAAAAGTAGATTCAACACAAAGTGCATGCTTCTGTACATAAACCTCGTACATGTTTATAATTATATTTCAGTCTAAATTCTGATGTTATTATATGTAATGTTTTAGGACTAATCAAATACAATACCAAATAAAAGCAATAAATTGTATTTGAAGTGTATCTTAACTGCTAAAAGTCAATTAGAATAAATCAGCGTAAAAGTTAAGGCTTGCAGAAAGAAATTTATCATGAATAAAAAATTGCTTAGCGAGAAACTTGAGGGATTGTATGTACGCACGTTATTTGAAACTCTGGGGAACTTGACTTCAAATCAAAGCCAGTCAAAAATTATGCGTATACTTTTCAGGATTGAAATTAATCCTCATCACTAAAAACGAGTTTTATTTAATTACAAGTGTTTTCCTGTTTTTTTTTTTTTAAATTATCATTATTAATATTGGTTGATTGTTATGTATTTAAATATCGTGTACTCGCATTGTTTTGCTTGCTAATAAAATGTGAAATGCGTTTAAAAATCAAATTTATTCAGACACCTGGATTTTAAGACTTACAAAACACTGTAAACAATTTACAAGTATAATTTCTTCTATATTTTTTTATGACAAAAGCTCAACGTGTAAAAGCTAAATGCAAGTGTTTTACATTTTGCATATTGAAATCTAATTCAGAAAATTCGAAATAAAAAAAACGCTTGAGATTTAGAGCCATATACTATGGCTTGCGACAAATATAGAAAGAACATCTATTTGCAGGTTACTCCTCCCCCCTTTGCCACATATTTCCTCATTATAGTGATGATTTTATTACCGTTTTAAAAAAGTGATCAAATTTTTGTTTTATGCCTGAAATCCTATTGACCATGCATTGCCTAAAAATACAGATACTAATATTTTTTCACTCGGGTTGAACATTGTCGCTGCATGTTAAGGTCGCTGCACGAGGATTATCTATACCGTTCATTCTGACTTTGTGATCAGAATATGAATTTCATAATACAGTCCAGTCCAATACGAAAAATCGTAATATTACAGAATATCGTAATATTATTCTTACATTACTATTTTTCGTAATATAGTTAAATTACGAAAACTCATAATATAGCATGTTGTGAGAGACTATATTACGAGTTTTCGTAATGTAAGACAAAATTAAGCATTGAAAGAAACTGAATGATGTTAAGGAAAGTATGACGTCAGAAATACATTATGCCCCAATGGTACTAGTATCACGTGGTCATCTTGGTCAGTGACGACTATCGAAAAGTATGAAAATGCAAGAAGAAAGTAACAATAGTAATGGGTGAGTGAAAATTTTGTTTTATTATTCTTATATAAGAATTTTCCCAGGGATGGGAACAATTTTCCATAAAACTTCAATGTATCCTAAAACTTGTCATAGTGTTCTATAATATCCGAATTCCCTATATTTTTCCCGAAGTCTACCCTAAAAATCAGACCCCCATCTCCAACAACGAGATGTTACGGGATATAACTTGTACAACTTTCACTAGGCTCTGACTCTGCATGCACTTGGATCAAATGCATCAAAACAAAGAAATGCATGCATATCCACGATGATTTGATGAAACCAGAGACGTATAATCTCTCATGAAACATAACAAGCAGGTTGTATCAGAAAAAAGGGAAGTAACTCTTAGAAGAGTTAGAAATTGCTTATATTACGAATTTTAGTAATATTACGATTTTTCGTATTGGACTGGACTGTACATAATACTAGTGAAAATAAGTTGCTGGTCATTCTAATATGTCTCCGCAATAAAATAAATGATGAATAAAATTAAATTTTGTATCATTATCACCTTTTAATTCTTGCATATGCCATAGGTCAATATATTTATACGCGTACTGTAAACGGGACTACGTTCAAAATGACGTTGTAGATATTAATAACGCCATAAACATGATAAACGCCAAATTTTATCTTGTTAAAAGAAAACTTCGAAATTATTTAGCAAAAATTCTAGCGACAAGAGACAAAAATAACTATTCCTCCGAATTTTGCACACTTTTAGGAATGTTTTCGATCTAAAATTTTGAAAGCATCACCTTTTGAATCAATAATACATTTTCACCTTGAATCTTAAACTATATCACTTCTTATTGCTGAATATTATTTCAGGGTCCGTTATCAGTAAATTTCTTCAGATTATCCGAGATTGATCTGTTTCATTCTTTTCCGGCGTACTTCCCAAAACAACAGCCCATCTATTTTCCGACACCATTTTTAGTGCAGATCTTGATGTGGAATTTTTAATTGCAGGTTCAACATAACACCGCCAATTCTTTCATCTGTTTAAGCACTATTACAAGTATTGTCGAATGGAACTCCATTAGAATTCAACACTTTTCCTCACAATCCATCATATTGTGATATGTTATGACAAATTCCAAAATTCAAAATTCTGTAGTTTTCTTCGGCTTTCTAGGTCAAAAGTATATAAAACACTATCTGAACCTCTCTAATTTACATTGGATTTAAAAATATTCTTCGACTGAACTCATGACTGTTCAGCACCATTTAGTTTCATGCTCACTAGTCCATGAATAAAAGGGGTGTTCGATTAGGCTATTGTTTTGTGTCAGGGTTGGGTATTTGAATGGGCTACATCCTACTGTATAATAGCAAGTTTGATATTTGAATGGGTAAATGTTTCTTTGGGGCCCAAAGTAGGGAATTTTTTTAAATAAGATAAATAACTCTTAAAGCCTTCGGCCCTCGGAGAGAATGTTTTCTCTAAACTATTCAACACCATCTAGTTATTTATCCCTTGCTGAATTTCAGAAGAGGATCATGATGCCGATTAAAATTTTTTTTCAATTTTTAAAAATTAATTTAATTTTTTTTTTTTGTGTCCGATTATTTTTTTGAAAAATAAAAGTAATTCATAATTTATCATCGTTGTAATAAAATAAATATGATTAAATATAATTCTCTGCACTGTCTTGCATTTATTAATATCAGCACAAAGCCAGCATTACCACTTGTTATTTATTAATTATTTTATTCTATTTCAACCGACAGCATTAGTAATATTCAAATATTCCACCAAGCATAAAGCATTTACAGAGCATCTATGGGGTGATGTTATAATGCTAAACTGAGCATTTATGGAGTGATGATATGATGCTATACTGAGCATTTAAAGAATAATGCAGTGATGCTATACTGAGCATCTTTAGAGTGAGGTTATTATGCTATACTGAGCATATATAGGGTGATGCTTTACTGAAGATCAACAAGTAAGTAAAAACTGTTATACTAAACAGTTGTGCATAAATGCTATACTTAATACCAGAAGAACAAATCATAAGGAGAATCCATGTTGTGGTAACGGGTACATATGTGGAAAGAAATATAATTATATAAATGAGTTGCCCTGTTACACTGCCAGTTATCCTGTATTTATAAAAGTTTGCGCCTAATCCAAAATGTCATATGGATACAAAATAATTATAAAGCTTCTCCAAATATGTAAGAAAACAAACATTGTTTGTTTTTTATAATGACCAAAATACTTAATCATGGTATTGCACAATCACTGCATTTCTAATACTTCTCCAATACTTATGCATGGGCGAAGGGGGTCCTCGTGCTTCAGGTTGACGAGGTGAACACCAACCCTTGCAGGGTGTGACGTGTTCTGCCAAAAACCATCTGTGCCTCCACCGAAATACATGTAGATCCCAAAAGGATAATTTCCACAACATAAATCAAAAGCACAGATGATACTCTCCTTAGAAGCTGACCAATAATTAATCTTAGGCGACATGCACGCAGTTCCCCTTTTGCATAAAGATTCATTTCATGACTTTCTAAAGCTTGATTTTTTTTCACCGCATTACCAGGCTTACAAATGGCGCAAGAGAAAAACAATTTTGATTGTGTTAAAAATCCGTAATTATCTGACCTTGTAAAATTTAATTGTTTTTTTTCAAAGCGGCATAACTTGATTTATCTGTGATAATATTGTCTTAGACAAATCCGCGGGTATGTTAAGGAAGCATATAAGTTATTTCTCGGGAAATTTAGACTTTTTGAAGAAAATTAAGTTTAATAAATTTAAAAAACCACTTATAAACCTAAGCTGTTATTTACTATTGCATACAGATAAAAGCGTGTCTAACGCAAAGACGTGCATCACCGCCACGGCATCACGTGACTTCTATTAATAGCAAAATTTTCCCTAATAAAAAGGCTTACAGAACAACAATACCCCGGAGTTTGATAATTTCTTTGAGTAAGTAATATAGCTGAAAAACATCTATTTTGTCTAAAAAGTGCTGCTAGAATCCCACTATCTTGTCCGTAACATATTTATTCCACACGTTCGCAAGAAACCTTACCCTTTGTTTTGCCTTTTATACATATGAATCGAGATTTTTCGTAGAACCATGCTTAAATTGGGATTCTAGCAGCACTTTCCAAGTTTGTCAAAACGCAAACTTTCAATCTGTACAAATCGTATGTTTTGAAATATCCAGTTTATTGTTGTTCTGTTGCATTTTTTGGTCAAGAATGGCGGACCATAGGCCGACCGGGATACGTAAAATAGCTGACTGTCTTCGAAAGAGAATATAATCGATGAAAATAAATTAGCATACCTGTTTAATTAATTGAACTTCATATTAATTTAACACAATGTTTCCAATATTTTTCTTTAAACTCCATTTTACGTATCTTTGAACATGCCGTCTTAGCCAAATTCTCTTTACACGACATGATCAATTTCCAAGTTACTTGATATACACATATGACGTCATCGGTGGTAGATTTCAATCATA